CAATGGTCTCTATCACAGCGCCACATAAAATCCTCCTTGTCATGTTTCTATGAATATCTCTGAACTAGTTTCTTGAACAAAATAAATAGCACACACAATATAATTCACTTGGTAAGGATTGTGCATTGATGAGTCAAATCTCAATACGTGCATGGTGTCACACTTGGAGGCATTCTGAATAACCTTCAAGGCCAATCATATGCATCCCTGAAGCAGTATCTAAAAGTAGAGACCCTGGAGGGGGCAGGTGTGGAATCTTGTGATACTAGGCATGTGACTAGAGGCCAACCAAGGAATCTGACTAAATCTGGTTCCATATTTACAAAGCTCAGTTAATGTTATTAACCACCACTGAAGGTTACTAAACATTAAGTACAACTAAAGTACACAGCCTAGCAAGAGTTGGTGAGTCATTAAACTGAGCAGCTTAATTTGTCATTACTAACATGTGCCAACATTTATAGTACGTGACAGAAAAAATATGGAGAAGCATGCTGTTGGCATATCACTGAATATGAGACCCATGTGATTCCAGGGATTGAAGTCGACTGCTAGTCATGTGTCAGCAAGATTGCTGTTCTTTAGCAGATAAACAACATATATGACGTGGCTTTGGGATCTTGCACTAACTGATACAGTCAGCTAATGAATGTCTTGTAGCCACACTGCACAAATGAAAATTCTACATGTGCATTTCCTCTTTCAAAGCCCAAGAGCACAGAATAAAGTAGGGTGACGGAGAGGTGGTGTTAGCAAAGATACACAGAATGAAGAATTTAAAACAAGAAGATTGGCTAGTTTTGAAAAATGAAAATAAATTACAAACACATTAGAGATTATTTGGAACATTTTTATAAGGATTAGGGAAACGTATCTAAAAAAATCTGTCATATCAATCTCAAGATATATATCACACAGTCTTCCTCTTTGGTGCAGCAAAAGCCTGGAAGTCAGATACACTGTAAACAGAAGTATTCTTCACCTTTAGGGAGCTCCCACATGCCCCATCTCTTCCTAACACCAATGTCCACCCATCTCTCCAATGTCTCTCACCCACAACAGATTCTTGCCACACCTCTGCCCAAATCTTCCTCCCCAAATATCTTAACCAATCACACAGATGTGTAGTTTGTGGTTATTCTGAATAGAAAATAAGGCTGTGCCATTGACTGTTCCTCCAGGCATTATACATTAAAAAGAAATATGCTGTCATTGTGGTTAGATTACATTGTATCTTAACCAAAAACAAATATGACCCCCAGAAAATATCTGACAATGATTGAGACATACACGTCTTCCACAAGTTGAGAGTATTACTGATTTCTAAAGTGGACAGAGGTGGAGCCTGGAGTAAGTATCCAGATTCATAATATAAGGATGCACTGTTTCTCAGCATCCTGCAAGTTCAAGATTAACATTTACATGACCTTAAGTTTGAGACGCTTCTTAAATAAAATGACCTAACTGCCTCCCAGCCTAACTCTAGTCCCCACTCAGCACTGGGTAAAGGCTTGGGGTTGGGGGGAGGTGTGCTGTGACATACCCCTCACAGAAAGAACCATCTAAGATATCATTAATACTAGCCTTGAGAAACTCAGAAAGGTTTAATGAATATAAGGAAAACTAGAGATAAAAATGTTGACCTTCCTTTTTCATCACTTTTAATTATAGAAGTAAAAGTCACACCTGTGTTAGGTACTGTAAGTCAAACCAAATGTTTAATTTGCTTTCTTTTTATTTAAAGTGTCTACATTGGATTAAGTAAATCCTTTACTTCCTGGACCCTGTGCTGCCTTCCCTCTGGCAGTGGGATGCTGACTCATCCTTCTCCCTTGGAAGGCCAGATGCAAAGTTGCTTTCCATCTGACATGTTCCCAACTAGCTGTGGCCTTGCTCTGCTCAGGAGAAAACTTTCTCATGTTATCTCTCTACCTCTTGATATCTTGTAATATTTCATTTGCTGATTTAACTCTTCTTTTCCATCCCCATACAAATATACCCAGAAATACACAGCAATTTAAGTAGTTTATGAGCATGAACCAGGATTTCTTTATATTTACTTGCCCAGTACTTCCATATAAGACAGTGCTTGGAACATGGAAAGTGTTCAACATGTGGTTTAAATGGCATGAACCACAATAGTCCATGTAGAATCTGTGAACCTAAAGGCAATATTGCATCAGTAAGCGTTGTTGAGCCCAGCACCAATTTTCTTTTTCTATTCAATCCCTCTACCTTTTCTGAGTTTGAAACCCAGTTGCTTGACATATTCCTTTGTCAGGGAACTGGCTTGACTTTTCCCATAAAGAGAAGTACAGAAAATAATAAATTTCTTTTCAAAAGGCCTGCTGTAGCATCAGAAGGCTTCAGGTCTTTGCTGGAGCTATGGAGCCCAAATTCAGAAAGAAAACAAACACATTTACTACTGAGAGATGAATCATTTTACAATTTATGTCAAACTCTTCAGGAAACCAAATGGAATCAACCTCAAACCACATTGCCATCAATCTCTACCTCATCCTTGACCCTAAAACTGAAATATCTTTAATGTTAAATTTCAACAAAAATGACCTGAAATCACTTACATAGCTAATATGCACCCATATTCAAATAGTTCCGTTTGAGGATGAAGATAACACATACACTGAAGGCTACAGCTACTGGTTCTCAAAACAAGTATATCGTGGAACAGTACGCTAGTTGATGGTGGACCCCATATAAGACAGCACTCCTTTAAGAATTTTGTCTAATAATCCTGTATATTCTATATCTACCTTTGTGGGTGCAGGTGCACCATTTGATGTTTGTATAATGACACAACTGCCTCATGATGCATTTTTAAAAATGTATCCCTGTTTTGGTGAGCCAGAACCTAAGGCTTTCATACCTTGTCTACTAGGAATTCACTGAAGCTAACCATCTACTTTATCAAGAAATCATCTTAACTTTTAGCTAGCCCCTAAAAGATTAAATTATGTAATTAGTTTATTTTGAAACAGTAATCATGAGAAAATAAATCTATTCAAAATTTAATGCATATGTTCCATTCACACAAATTTTAAAACTTGGGAGTCAGAGAAGTACTGGGCTAGACAGTGCTATTTGACTCTGCTAAGAATCACCATATTTAGTATCAGTTGGAAGAAGCTAATTGACCTTTTTTGAGGACCAGCTTACGCCAAGGAATTTCCACAAGTGTGTCATTAAATACTTACAACAACTCTACTGTGATGAAAGAGGTTTTACTACCCATCCTCTAGGTGAAGAAACAGCCTTTAAGAGTCTTAGGAAGTTTCTAATCTTCACAGCACTGGTAAATGGCCAGCATTTCTAAAGCACGATCTTTCAACTGTGTCTTACTGCTACTGGCTGAACATCTGCAAGGTCACACTAAAGCCTCCAAAAAACAGAAAACATTCACATTTCAAGAGTGCCTCACATGTGAGCCAGTGCTACAACTAGATGTTATGCTGCAGAGGTTCACAGAGCTGAGGACCACATGCTTCTGAACCACACCATGTCACAGAAAGCATCTTCAACAGACAGCCACCACTCCACCAGAAGTTCAGAGGCCTACACAAACAGTAGGAAAGGAGTCAGACTGTACCACCGCTCACAGCGCTATGGAGTTCTTAACTGCTTCTGCTCTTGTTTCAACAATTGCTGATTTGGGACTACTTTGTGTAAAGCACTATTAGTACCTAGCGTATGGGATAAAAAATAAATAAACATGTCTTTCTTCAAAAAGCTTAGATAAGTCAGGCATGGTGGTGCATGCTTTTAATTCCAGCACTCAGGAGGCAGAAGCAGGCAGATATCTGTGAGTCTGAGATCACCCTGGTCTATAGTAGTAAGTTCCAGGCCAGCTGGGGCTACAGAGAGGCCCTGTCTCAAAAAAAAAAAAAAAAAAAAAACTCAAACAAGGTAGACAGCAAGGACAAAAAAAAAGTTTAGATAATATCACAAACATTTTTTTAAAAAAGATGATGCACAATGTGTTGGAAAAGATGTTTTTCAATTGGTGAGTGCTATGAAAATTCAATGAGATGCTACAGTAAGATGGGAACCTTTGAGATAACATGTGCAGATGAGACAGTGACAGTGCTGGCTTCACAACCTCATGAGAAGAGAGCAGAAAACTTGCTCCTCTTCATCCTCGCTCATCAAGAAGACGGCCAGAAGGCTCATCGGAAACAAATTGCTCTCTTCATCTTAGATTGTCAAGCCTCTAGAAATGTGACGAACTAATGTCTCTTAGTTACGAAACATACTTTCTCATGTTTATTTTTACCAGCCTGAGCTGAGGAAAACAGATAAACATGTAGATAGATAAGCTGACTGGTAGACCACTTGTAAATGAAGATAGACAAAAGTCTTGTTTGAGAAATTAATGTAATCTTCAGAGACAATTTCGATTTCTATCATAAAAATGTGGAAATGTAGTTTGATTAGTTTATCATGGGAGATTAATTAACTGATACTTTATTTCATCAGCAATTAAGGACTTATCCTTATAGTAGACCCTACTGAGTTGAAAAGATAAAAAGGAATTTGTTCTAATTCTGTAATAAAGGGGCAGATATACAAGCACATAGTTACAGCCCAATATGCTAAGGCTTAAATGAAGTTTTTATAGAAACAATGCATACTCCTCCCTAGCCGGTTGTGGCATGACTTCACAGAGGAAGGTAGCAACTGACAGATTCATGGAGGAAACAGTCAGAGAACGTTTGAGAAATCATTCCCAATATAAAAACCAAAATATTCAAAGACTTCATTATCGATGGGCACTAGCATTTGATGGCTCTGAGTCATAGCTGTGATTAGGAGCAAGGATCACAACCAAAGACGCACCATGGCACCTGAGAAGGTAGGATAAAAGGAGAGTTAGGATTGCAACTACCTCGTCCGTGTGTGGTCAGCATTGTTTGGCGAGAAAATGTAAAGGCAATAGGGAATCAAAAAAAGAATTAGAAGAGCAGGGCTGTGGGGTTATTCCGATGGAAGATATGAAATTTCTCAACACAAGCATTGGCAGCAGCGATTTTATAAAAGGTGTTGGACTTAAAGACATATCTAGCGTCTTCGGAGTTCAGCGGAAGTGCAACGTGACAGTAAGAAGCATCAGGGATGGCCAAGCGTTTCCATCACGGACACCCACTGGGTGGGTACTGATGGAACCTGGCCACGGTGAAGGAAGAATACACGTGCCTCAGGCGGTCCAAGATGGTCATGCTGAAGTCGTGAAGGCTAGAGCTGACCCCGCTGTGGGCGAAGAAAGCTGTATGACTGAGAAAAAAGTGAGAAAAGGCAAATGCAGAAGTTTGAGAAACAAAGACTATAAAAATGAGGAATCTTCAAAAGCGATAAGGGTGAAGAGGAAGCTTGCTGAGCATATGAAAACACACAGGAACTGAGTAGAGACGATAGAGCTACCCAGAGAAAGACTGCATGCTTAATCTTGCTTCTGTGGAACAGCCATGGTAAAAAGCATACCATTGCTCAAATATTAAAAGAAATTCTTGAGGCTAAAGTTTTTCTATACCAAAAGTGATTATAAATATCAGACATATAAGACAAATAAAAACTAAAAGATTCACTTACACACACACACACACACACACACACACACACACACACACATACTCAGAAAGAGAAAGAGAACTTCATAATTCAGTTTATCAAAGATATATGTGTGTAATTTGAATAACACAAGTAATGTAAATACTGGTCTATTAAACTTTACATACTTCTGAAAATTTCACTTAAAATTTTCTAATTATTGCAAAAGAAATTAATAGAATGTTTCCATCGTTGAGGTTGTGACACAATGCCACAGGTAATTATTTCTGGTTTAATTCACCAATTGTGCATAGAATCCCTTGAGTTCCAGGCCAACGTATGAAGCATAACACAGTGTAAAAGATATGAGACCTGTAGGGAACTGCAAGATTGCCTTCATTTTTAATGAGGGAAAGTTTTATTTACAAGACAACTCAGCTGTGAAACCGAAGTAATAACATGAATTAATTTAAACACTCTGCATTTAAAGGTCGAGTACTTTTAACAACTTCCCTCCATGTTCTATTGAGTAGAAAAAATGATATTAAATAATATTTATAAATATTTATAAATGTTTAAGAACAAAGCCTCTTGGTGCATGTTGACGCTTACACAATCAGGTTTAAATCTGCTTTGCAAAGGATTTAATCCAATCTACACCCTTTTGGTTTGCACAAGACTTGGTCCCACTTAATCTGACCAAGCTGCCACCAACTGTGAGCTTAAAAGTCCAGAGGCAACACAATCAAAGGGAAAGTAAGCAGGACTTTTGTTACAGAGTCACCCTGAGCTCAGGGGTATACATTCATACAGGGTCGGCCAGCAGGCTGTTCATTTCTGGGCTGAGGTAGGCTGCTGATGACAAGTGACAATCCCAAGCAAGGGAAAGGACTCTTGGGTCTAAGTCTGGCCCTACCCTGACTAAGTCTGTTATTTGACTGTGAGTGAGTCACTGAGAGTCCCTGAGCCTCCGTAGTAATCATCTATAAAGCAGAACATGGGCGAATGCACTGTGCTCACTGCACAAAGGCTGCAGTAGAAAAGCACTGCCTGCTGTGTGAATGCACTTTAAGTTATGGAAGTCCTGGAAATAACCCAGGACATAACTAAGTGTGCACAGTGAGGATTTCTTCTCAGGCTGCACCTTAATTTCTAAATCATATGTTCGTCCCTCAAACAAAACAAAACAAACAAAACAAAAAACAAAACAAAGACAAGGTCTTCAGGTACTTAAAGATCAAAACTTTACTCTTTGGAATACTTAAAATTTTTCTTAGAATTTCAGCATCACAAAAGACTCATTTCTTCTTTTAAAATTGTATTATAATTACTTTATGCATATGAGTGTATTGCCTCATATAAGTGAACCCCTGTCATGCAATGCTTGTGGAGATCAGACGAGAGGATCAGATCCCCTAAAGCTATAGTTACAGATGGTTGTTAGCCACCATGTGGATGCTGGGAACCGAACCCAGGTTCTCTGCAAGAGCAGACAGTACTCTTAACCACTGAGCCATCGCTCCAGCCCCAAGAGTAAAAATGCTCATAATTTTTTCAATCTGTACTTTTTCCTATTAATGTGTGTGTGTGTGTGTGTGTGTGTGTGTGTGTGTGTGTGTAATTGGCCTATTTGTATGACCTCTCCCACATCTTCTTTTCACTGTTTTTCGGATGGTGCTGAAGACACCTTACTGTATAGACATGTATATATCAACATGACCCTAAATCCAGGCCACAGCCAGTAAGACAAAGGGGTCCTACCAAGTTTGAGGAAACAGTAACAATTATTACTGAAGAGATGCTATAGTTAAGGCAGTTTCTTTTTCTTATTTTCCTGTGTAGAAACTTGTTCATTCTTTAAGATAACTGTGAGATGGGTATCTATCTTACTATCTATAGATGAAGAAACTGAGTTAGAAGATTGTCTTAGTTTGTTTCTCCATTGTTATGACAAAACTCTCAGACTGCTAGGAAAGGGTTTATTTTATCATACATCTCCTGGGTCACAGTTCATCAGGGAGCCCAAGGTAGGAACCTGGAGGCAGGAGCTGGAGCACAGGCCACGAAGAATGCTGCTTGCTGGCGTACTCTCCTGGCCCATGCTCAACCTGCTTTCTTATGCAACACAGGCCCATCTGCCCAGGGGTGGTATCACCCACAGTGGGCTGGGCCCTCCCACATCACTCAACAATCAAGAAGATGCTTCACAGACACGGCCACAGGCCAGTCCTATGGAGACAATTCCCCAATTGAGGCTCCTTTGACCCAGTTGTGTCAAGTTGACACTAAAGCTATCCAGCACAAAGATCAACAGGAAATTGCTCCAAGGCTGCAGACCTAGAAAAATTTGGATCAGGGATTCAGTCCAAGCCAAGCTAATCACAGAGTAACCATTTTACACACAGTTTATTAGGAACTGGAGAGATGGTTCTGCTGTTGAGAGCTCTGGCTGCTCTTACAGAAGGCTCAGGTTCAGTTCCTAGCACCTACACGGTGACTGACAGCTGTCCATGACTCCAGTTCCAAGGATTCTGATGCCCTCTTATGACCTCCTCTGGCATTATACAACATGGGTACACTTGCATGGATGTGGGCTTACACTCATACATATAAAAATAAATTAATTAAATATTTTCTAAAATAGTATGTTACTACTGTTTCTAAGTGAGGCTAATCTGTATGTGAAGAATTTGAAGTAATCCATGGAGAGACCGAATCAGTATGTTGTGTTAGATACTAGAAGTGTGAGGTCATTTAACATTGCAACAGTATGGAACATTCGTGATTAATGTCTTTATGAACTTGATTTTATCTAAAGCTTTTCTTGGCTCTTACTTAAGAAGGCCTTATAAATGAGTATCGTTTGGATCTTTATTATGTGAGAATAATTTAAAGTGTGGGCTAAGCTGGATTCCTAGTTAAGTATTAAGATCACCTGCCAGGGCCTACGGCATTATCCAGCATTATAAAATAAACTGTGGATGTTTTGAACCATGTGGTGTTGCATACCCGTGTGAGGATTGACTGGGCATCATGGATCCTCAGGCAATGCTTTTTCTTGCCTTAGACTCTTGCCAAATTTATAGGCAGACTGATTTCTCTGCATTTGCTAGGGGTGTGTGTGTATGTGTGTGTGTGTGTGTATGTGTCTAATGTGTAGTGTTGCAACATGGCCTACCACAAGGAGAGCACAGTTTTAGTCACAGGATTGTATATTTATTACCTTGTTTGCTTTATACCTCTGCCTAGCACTTTGTGATCTGTTGGGTATATCCTTTGGTCTTTGGTACTCTAATTCCAATTCGCTTTGTCTGTCAAACAGCTGGAGTGGAAACCTGAGTTAAATCATATTTGAATCATCCAGTTTCCCTTGTCAGATACTTTTGTTCTCTGGATAGTTCATATTTTCTCGCTGTTTTTCACAGTTTATGGATTATTAGTTGCTCTCTACAGAGGACTTTTGTAAAAGGCATAATCTTACACAAATTAACTATCGTAATAAACTGACTAATTTGAAATACAAAGGAGTTTCTTGAAGCCTGATTTTAGGAAACACAGATAAATCTCACAGCAGTAGCAAGGCAGGGAAAATCTCACTATTCTTTTAAAATAGTATAAAATGTGCCCAAAAGGAGCAAACAAAGGCTAAAGAAGACAGATTTTTAAAGAAGAACAAAGGTAGACAAAGAGGTCACATACATCACCACAGATGGAGACTCATCAAAACGGTGTAGTGATCATGACAGTTAGAGACGCTACTGTCTGCATGGACAAACTCATCACAGAAAAGACTAAGAAACAAAGAAATACACACACACACACACACACACACACACACAGTGTGGGAAAGCTATTGCTTTAGGCCAATTTGTTATCTATAAAGGGAAATTTACCATCACACATACACACACACACACACACACACACACATACACATACACACAAAGAATGCTAAATGGATCACCACAATGATAAAATCAAGCTGTCACTAAAATATCCAATGCAGTAATCAACAGTCACATGAGACTATTTAAATTTACAGCTATGTTAACTCAATTTAAATTTAAATATCCAGCCCCTCAGTCTCAATACCCACATTTCCAGTACTCAAAAGTCTCCTGTAGCTAATGATCGCTTTGTTGAACAGTATCAGATACAGAATATTTCCCTCAATCCAGAAAGATTTAGTTCAAGGTACAGAAAGACATACAGGTTATCATTGTTATGACCTACCCCATTGAAAAGGACATAGTAAACAAAACAGAAAAACAAAAAATAGAAAGAACACAGCAGCAATACTAGTAAGTTTATCTACTAAAACTCAGAGACATTTGTGAACAGACTCTATACAGAAATGGAGAAAAGTTTTAATCTAGTAGAAGATCATTATAATGTGTATATGTAAAACGTGTAGTATATAAAGAATAGACATAAAACTGAAAGACCATAACCACCTAGAAAAATGCACAAAGGTTTTACCAGACACTTCACTCTATTTGACTGAAGAAAGGCCATCACAGTTTGGCATATTCTGTCAAATACCTGTTGTGACTGAAGCATATCACAAATTTCTGTATTCATTTTGACCAGAAGTTAATGAGAGGCAGACAGACAACACCTATTTTTTCCAAACTAGAAACAATTCTATCATGGCTTACACAGCTGCCCAGCAATGTGTAAGTAGGTTGATAGTAATGTTTGAATGTGTAATTAAATGGATGTTTCTACTGTTAGCTTATCCTTCATTAAAAGATAGTTTTCTAGCTCACTTAACAATTTTCCTTTAACTTACTCTGCACGCCCAGGGCTGCATGTGGGAAGCACAAAGTACACTCGGTATTCTCCACTCTGAGCATAGGGCTTGATGCGAACTAGGACATTAATTTCATATTTACTTCAACCTGAGTAATCAGAGAACAAAAGGCCATGTGATTGGGTGATCATGCAGAAAAGTAGACAGGGATTATAAACCTAGGAGGAAAACCTGCAAATTCAACTAACGTATCATTTTCTCAAGGCAAAGATGAGTTTCCATCACTGAATTAATATATACAGATTTACTCTGCACCATCCTGCCCCAATCCCAGTGAAACACAGACCAGGAGAACTGAAAGCATGCCTTCTCTATGGAAAAGATTTTGATTACAATAAAAATTAAAATTTAAAAAGTGATGTCTGTATATCTTAAGATTTGAAACAAAATTGTAGTCAAACCACAAGTGTTTCACCTTTCAAGACTTTTGTCATGTAAGAATGACAGGAAAATGGTAGCTTAGCAACTCTGGTACAAAATGAAGGTGAATAGAGGGTCGATCTAGAGAAGGGGACATTCAAGTAAGACTACATGTTTGAGGACATACAGCCATGGTTGGTCACTGTAAGGAAGGGTCCACACCTTAAACTAGGTCATTCATAACAAAGCGCATGAGTAGCCATCAAATATGTGATCTCCAAGATACCTTGTCCTTAGCTCCTGGGCTTGGGTGCAAGGACTCTGCTCCCTGGGAAAGGACACTGTAGTAGGGGGATATGGCAGAATTCCCATACTCATCCAAGGCTGGAAAGGCAGAAAGTGCTATACTCAATAGCTCATGTTCAGAGCTACCATAAACCAGTCATCATGAGAGAGGAATCCAGTTCTGTGAAATCCAAACACAGGCACAGAACCCTCTCACAAGAAGAGGAGATAGCTAAACTTCAGAGAACATTGATGGAGACCCCTGGACCAGCCACAATCAGAGTCTTGAATCATGCTTGGTACTGGGAAATGCTCTTAAGAGCACATCTCAGTGATAAGCACATGCCCAGCTCATGCAAGGCCTTGGATTCAATTCCCAGCATCTGACGAGAGAGAGAGAGACAGAGAGAGAGAGAGAGACAGAGAGATGGAGAGAGAGAGAGAGAGAGAGAGAGAGAGAGAGCCTCCAATCATCACCAACGGTGCTCTCCTCCCACCAGAGAGTTTGATACTTCCTAGAAGAAGAAATTATACATTCTGTCTCAAACAAAATTGTACTTGGGCTTAAAAATGTAATCATGGCAAAATTTGCCTAGTAAGGAAAACAAACAAATGAAGACTCAGACACTGGTGGAAAGGTGATTTGTTAAAAAGTAATATTGGGAATAATAAAAACTGCACACGATTCTTCTACTGTGGAGGAGTGAATATTTGTGCATTATTTTCTCTCTTTCCTATTAATAATCGATGGGCTTCTTCATGCTCTACATTCCTATTGTTTATTTGGTTTTTCTTCCTCCCAAGTGCTTGTTTTTTCCTCCTCTTCTACAAATATCTTAATTCCCTGTTGTCTGTTTACTACATCTTTTTCTTCCAGTGGGGATGTTCAACCCTATTCTGTCTTGCTGTCACAATAGTAAAAGTATACGCATCTAGGGCAGAAGTGATTAGAAGGGCCTTTGTTTTCACTCTGCAGACTGACAGAACTGACAAGAGAAATGCTCACTTCTGAGACATGCAGAGCAAAAGGTACCTTCACCCGCTGGGAAAGGTCACTTGGTCGACGCCTGCCTCCTCAGTGCTAATTCTGGTGCAGACAGGATACTGTGCTGTCCTCATCTTTCACAAACATACCTTATTGTTGGGACTGGAGAGACGGCTCAGCGGTTAAGAGCACTGGCTGTTCTTGAAGACGACTGGGGTTCGAATCCCAGCACCCATATGGCAGCTAACAACTGTTCCTAACTCCTGTTCCAGGGGCTCCTTTGGCCTCTTCTGTCCTCCACAGGCATTGCAGGGCACAGGTGCACTTACATACATGCAGTCAATACATGCACACACATAAAGTAAAAATAATAAAATATTTTTTAAAATAAAAATAAAAAGTACCTAATTGTAAATTCAATAATTATGTGGACTTCTCAGAGGACAGGGTTGCTCTAAGAAGCAGTAGATAATTCCCACATTCACCTATTTTATTTTGCACCTAGAATTTCAAAAATAAATTTATAATACTCAGATTTCTTTTGTAGGCAAAACTCAAAATAATGTAAATAATCAAAACTTTGTCATAAGCTGGATCTTTGGCTCTAAGAGTTCAAAGTCCACTCAGTGCAGTTTAAGTATAAGAGGAGGAAAAGTTCTTTAAAAATATATTGCTGAGACTCAGAAAAAGGATCGTAAAGTTTACTTCAAATTTTCCCTACCCTTCTCTCTTCTCGTTCTTCAACCTCGGCCTCTTCTTTCTGTTCAAGAACCACAGAAACTAGCATTCCTCTTCCCCTTAGGAGAGGAAGAGAAATCAGAATCCTTTAAAGAACATCCAAAAAAACCTAAAAATGTTATTTTGCCTTTCTCCACAATTTCATGTAAGAGTTGACTATAAAGACCACAAGGAAGCAGAATTTTCTAGGTGGCTCATAAGAACTTAGGTCAGTGGTGACAGCATGCACAAGACACCTGCAAGCTCAAGCCAAACAAAAACCCAGAAGAGAACTGGGGGAAAGGTTGACGGTCCCAACCTTAGCTAAGGAATTATTGGCAGCTGATCACTGTTGGATGGGGAGAATGGATCTTCTCTAAGGAAATGATGCTAGACAGACTGACCAGACTCCAATGGATGAACTCACACCAAGGGACACCTGGGTACATAAACTTGACTTGATAGGCCTTAACATGTATGACAGAATGCATGAACTGGTGAGGGGGCTATGGGGGGTGCAGTTAAGAGAGGGGTCTAAATATGATTAAGATGTATGGTATGAAATGCGTAAAAATTCAATAAAAATTATATATTGGGAAAAAGAAATTCTCTACAAAACTGAAGATGCCAGTAAACTGCCAGGCCCACAGCAAGAGTACTTGAGTTTGGATGCCAAAGCCCATGAAGAAAGCCAAGCATGAGGAAACACCTGACATTAGCCTACAACCTCCACACATGCAAACGTGTACCTCCTCTGTCTCCCTCCCTCCCTGCCTCTCCCTCCCCATCTCTCTTACACACACACACAGAGAGAGAGAGAGAGAGAGAGAGAGAGAGAGAGAGAGACTCTGACTAAACTCATTTCATTGTAGGTCATAAAATCCTCTCCTCCCCGCAAAAGAGGGAAGCCAAGAATGTGGACAGACAGCCTCGCTGAGGATGCCTCCTAGCTATTACTACTAGATCTAACCGATTTAGTCCAGTCATTTCCACCCAGCTGCCCACTCTTCCCTAAAGTTAAAAAGAGTTACTTACGATGTTTGGGTACACTAACTTGACACAATAGGCCTTAACAAATGACAGAATGTATAAATTACAATGGGGGGGCTATGGGAGGGTATATAAAGATTATTAAGGTTGACTGAGATGTTCTGTATGAAATACACAACAATTCAATTAAAAAAAGAGTTACATCAATCTGGACCTTTGGATCTTCAACATAAAGTCCCTTTGTTGTCACATGAAAATTATGATTGGATATCTAAAATTCTATATCTATATTGCTTTTCTCTTGTTAACTTGTCTTTCGTTAGAAGGGTGACCCTTTAAGATGGACAAGATAGAAACTACCCTTTTCTGTCCCTGACATACCAATTTAAGATTAACTTCCGAGCTAAGGTGTTAAGAAGCTGTATTTTCTGCCACCAGATAGATACATGTTAGTTGCATTTGAAGTTTATAATCCTTGCCTGCTTTTCTACACCAATACCCAGTCACGACAGCTTTTTGTTCTCTGATTATTCAGGCTGAAACAAATATGTAGTTAATGCCCTAGTCCCTATTAAGTCCTACACTCTGAGGGTTCTGATGATGTGAAAATGGACTAAGTGTAATGTGTGGAGTGTGAAGTTAGGACGTCTAGTTTCAAACATTATCTTTCTTGTTTACGGAACTTTGAGTATTAGTGAATCATGCTTGGTTCTTTTTTTGGGGGGGTGGGGAAGAAATGGTAATAGTCCCTCTCTTATGGATTAGACGAGGTGACACATTAAGTGTGGGAATGGTGCCCAGGAGAGTGTGCACTGCAGAACTGTCAGTTACTACTAAGACAGACTTTTTCATAGTCCAGCTGGTATATGCCAGGCAGCCTCCAGACCCTCTGAAGGGAGCACTGTCCTGAAGCTACAGTGTTCACCTGTGTATACTCAGCCTCTGGCATGTAGCAGACACATGGCTGCCTCGTTAGAGTCAAGGATAGGAATAGATTCTTGTAATCTATGAGCACGAAGTCAAAGACCTAACTTTCTAATACAA